GGAGGCACGGGCTCCGGCATGGGCACCCTCCTGATCAGCAAGATCCGGGAGGAGTACCCCGACCGCATCATGAACACCTTCAGCGTCATGCCCTCGCCCAAGGTGTCGGACACGGTGGTGGAGCCCTACAACGCCACCCTCTCTGTGCACCAGCTGGTGGAGAACACGGACGAGACCTACTGCATCGACAACGAGGCCCTGTATGACATTTGCTTCCGCACCCTGAAGCTGACCACTCCCACGTACGGGGACCTCAACCACCTGGTGTCGGCCACCATGAGCGGYGTGACCACCTGCCTTCGCTTCCCCGGCCAGCTGAACGCCGACCTGCGCAAGCTGGCGGTCAACATGGTGCCTTTCCCGCGGCTGCACTTCTTCATGCCGGGCTTCGCCCCGCTGACCAGCCGCGGCAGCCAGCAGTACCGCGCCCTGACGGTGCCCGAGCTGACGCAGCAGATGTTCGACTCCAAGAACATGATGGCCGCCTGCGACCCCCGCCACGGCCGCTACCTGACGGTGGCCGCCATCTTCCGGGGCCGCATGTCCATGAAGGAGGTGGACGAGCAGATGCTCAACGTGCAGAACAAGAACAGCAGCTACTTTGTGGAGTGGATCCCCAACAACGTCAAGACGGCCGTCTGCGACATCCCCCCGCGCGGCCTCAAGATGTCCGCCACCTTCATCGGCAACAGCACGGCCATCCAGGAGCTCTTCAAGAGGATCTCGGAGCAGTTCACGGCCATGTTCCGGCGCAAGGCTTTCTTGCACTGGTACACCGGCGAGGGCATGGATGAGATGGAGTTCACGGAGGCCGAGAGCAACATGAACGACCTCGTGTCTGAATACCAGCAATACCAGGATGCCACTGCTGATGAGCAGGGCGAGTTTGAAGAGGAAGGAGARGAAGATGAGGCTTAAGCCRCCTGAYATTAAAGGGACTTCTGTAAAGCAGGCATGCATCTGAATGACTTCTGGTAGTGGTGGTGAAGCATGTTTTCTAGAAACTGTGTACCCAATTATCCTCTCAACCTTTGTGACTTTGGCAGATTTCTCAGTGTAACAGTTCTGAATCCTAATTCTTACAATGTTTTTTGTCCTTTAAWAGTAAGAGCACATAAAGGCATGTATTCTAGATCGTGTTTTCTGTCTTTCTTAATATCTTTGTTGGACAAAGAGCAGATGTCCATCCTGGGTCTTCTTCAAGAACTGAACTTCTTCAAGTTCTTGAAGTGTCTTGAACTGAACTTCTTCAAGTTCAGTTTAAAGACATGTCAGAAATCTTGCAGCACAGTGGTGTGCTCTGATCATTGAGGCTTACATGTTCTTAAGACATATGCTCCTCATGCGAATACATTTAATGTTTTTTCTTACAGGACCCAAACCTACCTATAACTTGAGTGAAAATGGAAAGCCAACTTAAATTCCTAAACAAGGCAGAGGAATTTGTTTTACAGTTCAAGTCAGCRTAGGAAATTTTCCACTTCTCTGTTGAAGTCCTCTGCAAAGCGCAGGTGTAAATTATGCTTTCCTTCCGGCATCAGAAGCAACCTCAAAAGGGAAAAGAAATCAAACATTGATTATACGTTTTATTCTGTGAGTATCAGTAATTAAAATACCTGTTGCATTTTCCTTGCTCTTGATTACTGAGGAAGGAACTGTAGTAACTCTTATTTTAAAAAGTACTGTTCCCTATTTACATGGCTCAGAATGTGAACCACAGCAATGGTTGGAGCAACAAGCATACTACTTGTCCCATTTTGGGGAGGATAAAATAAGCCTAAAACAAATTTTTGTGTCCTAGACCCAGTTTCTTGAAACCTTTTTGGTGATCTACAGATAAGATAAGATTTCAAAACTAATGTGAGTAGGATGTATCTTTGAAAGGTATGTAAAGCACCTGAACACTTTTGCCACTTTCAGGGAACAGTACTTGTGCTGGGATGTGAAATACAGAGTTCTTGTCATGACCCAAACTTGGTTAGTGTTTGTACTTTGTCTAACCTTTCTGCAAAAAGACAATCCAAAACTAATACCATTCATCCACTAAAATGGAAGTCAGAACTTCTCTGGCTATACCAAAAGCTTAGAAGTAGTATAAAGGGAATAAGGTTAAATCTTTGTAATATGATTATGAGTTTGACGTGCCTAAAATGCTATTTACTTTTGCTTCCAGCTGTGATAAATTTTATACATCAGCGATGTACACTTCTTAATATGGCTGTGGGAAATTCTCTAAGTTGTTTTGTTTTACCATATACTAAGCAGTTTCAGCTAAAGCCATTTTCACTGGTACTTTACGTTGCCTTCATGTCATTAAAGTTCCACTATAGCAAGAGGGATCAAACTTCTTTTGGTAGTGACAAGTACTATTTTGTTCTGGGGAAAGAGTAGTGGCATGTGAATGTACCCAGCTTTTCTAGAGAATTCTGTCTGAGTTTCATTAAGTTTGTTTCTTCAAAGACTAAGCACCACACAGATGGACAAACCTATAGCACTGTTGTTAATGTTTCCTACTACTGTAGTGCTAYCAAACCCCAGCTATACCATGCAAATGCAAAATGATGGCACACTCTTCCACCATGAGAGAAACAAGCAATGTATCTGCACTCTAATCAGAAGCAGCTTCTCCTACTTTAAAAGATAAAAACCAGTGCAAGAAAAGCTGATGGTAAAACCATGTGTCACTGAGAATATACTGAATTTCAGCTTTTCCTTCTGCTTTACAGTGGAACCAGGGAAAAATGGGATCATGTATTCAAGTATTAATTTCTGAGAACACCATTAGTCTGGTTTCTTTTCTGACAAATATGCATACAGGGGAGCACTTCAGTACAAAGACATGCAAAGAATCATTGTTTTACATTTTATTGGTTGTTAATTTCTAAGTGTTTCCTCTTTGACTTGTCTTCCAAAGTGATGCTATCAGATCCTTGTCTATTTTTTTGGATAATTTGCCTTAGTTCAGCATTTGGAGTATTTTGGAGCTCAGTGAAAACAGCAGGATGATAGGTGTTCTGAGCAGGGSATGTAGGAGTAATGAACTAGCAGACATGAAATAAAACACCTGCATGTGATTGTTAGGAAGATCTCTTGTTCTCATGTTTCTTGTGGCAGAATGTATTACTATTATTAGTGGGGCTGACTTTGMGATAATATAATTCATTTTTGCACTGAGATGACACCAGCGAAACAGTTCCCTACACTTTGCATTCATAAATTTTTTTTCCCTGCTACTTCTGTTCTCTGGTGCTAATCATCACAGTCTAATATTACATAGTATTTAATATAGTTTCATTTGTGTGCAAATTCATGAATACAATTCAGCTGTAAAAATCCCAGCTTTTTATAGGAAGCATTTCTGGAATTTTGAAGTTGCGCTGTTTTTAGCTGGGATAAAGCAAATTTTCTTCACAGTAGCTATTATGGGGCTRTGTTTTAGATTTGTGCTGAAAACAGYRTTGATAACATAGAGATGTTTCTGTTATTGCTGAGCTGTGCTTGCACAGCATCAAGGCCTTCTCTGCTGCTTGTACTGCCCTACTGGGGAGAGGAGGCTGGGGGTGCCCAAGAGTGTAGGGAGGGGACACATCTGGGACAGCTGACCCCAACTGACTAAAGGAATATTCCATACCATATGGCATCATGCTGAGCATACAGAGCTGGGGAAAGAAAGAAAGAAAGAAGGGGATATTTGGAGGGATGACATTTGTCTTCCCAAGTAACTGTTATGTGTGATTTCTGGGCACAGCTATGCACTTTTTCCTCATTCTGCTTTTCTTAAAAACACTGAAAATTCATGGAGAGGTGGAAATGCAGAATCTTTGAGATTCTTGTTCATGTCAATAAGGCAGAGCAAATAAAAGTATCCTGTGCTTCTCTCTTAATAACTGGGAATCTCTCCATTCATAGCATCTAAGTTCCCTGTTTTACTGAATGGGAAAGAAATGAGGTTTCTTACAGCAAAAGGAATGGAATAGTCATAACAAACAAAGCAGATGTTTGCTTGCTTTGATAAATCTTAGGGAGTAGTGGTTCTGTTTGTGTAGTGGAAAGAGGAAAAGGAACAAATGTGGTTTCTCTCAGRGTTTCAGGAAGGAGCTTATTAAAATACTGTACTTTTATACTGCAAGAAAGGTCCAGCTACAGTGTTTGCATTGTAASTTGTTAGAGAAGTTTAGAATAGCTCTCTGTGTAGCAGAGAGCTCGTCCAAATACTTTTTTTTCTAAAAAAAAAAAAAACCCACTGGGTTTGAACTACTTCATTTCTTCAACAACGGTTCATAAAAACTCCATCATTTAACTTACCGAGAGCCTTTGATGTGCTTATGAATGTATTCTGCATGAGCTTGTGGGACCAAAGGGTCTTTCTCACCATGAATTATAAATGTGGGACATTTAATATCTGGCAGCAACTGTTGGCAGATATTACCTAGGGAGAAAACAAAGGAAGGTCAAACTTCATTTTAAAATTGTATGAAAGATGAAACTGCTTCCATAAAGGACTCTGAACTCTATTGGGTTCTAGCTATTGCCTCTCCTTGTGGAGAGTGTGTGATTAATCTACAGAACTATGTAAGCAGGATTATAATTTATATTTCTTTCTCCAAAATCTTACTTCACTGCAATTTGGTCCAACAATGGATACTAGAACAAAAAGATAGAGAGAACGAAGAACGTTCCGCATTTCCCCCAGGCTCTCTTTGGCTCTTCAAAGCCAATACACGCACCTCCTTCCTGACTTTGTTCTTTTCAGCCTCAGAGTCTTAACATGGCCCTCACGCTAAGGCTGCRTTTTGTTACATCAGTTGTCAGATTACAAGTTTTGCTACTTTTTTTGAACAAAGTAACATAGGCTGCACTGATTCTTACCTGTGGCCCCTCCCAGGCCCTCTGCTGTGTGCAATGCTCTAAGGGGTTGACCCTGTCTGGATGCCAGGCACCCACCTAAACCTCTCCACCACTCCCCTCCACAACTGGACAGTGAAGAGAAAATAGAATGACCCTCCCTGGATCACAAGTGCTACCAGGAAACCTGCTCTCATGTAGGCTCCTCTCTATAGGTCTGCAGGTCCCAGCCAGGAGTGTACTGCCACAGGTATAGAGCCCTTTCTCGGGCATCCACCTGCTCTGGCATGGCCTCCTCCAATAGCTGCAGGTGGATCTCTGCATCTTTGTGGACCTCCATGGGCTGCAGGGGCACAGCTGCCTCACCATGGGTTGCACCACAGGCTGCAGAAGTATTTCTGCTCTGGAGCAGCTCCTCCCTCTCCTCTTCCACTGACCTTGGTGCCTGCACAGTTGTTCCTCTCACATATTCTCACTCTGCTCTTCTCTGGCTGCAGTAAATCTGYACAGTAACCTTTTTTCCTTCTTAAATATGTTTTCACAGGTGTTAGTGCCATCACTGATTGTCTTGGCCTTGGCCAGTGGCACATCTATCTTGGAGCAGGCTGGCATTGGCTCTGCTGGACATGGAGGAGTCACTCTGCAATCCCCCTGGTRCCAAAAYCTGGCCATACAAACCCAATACAAATGCATAACCATTTAATACGAATTGTACTAAAACTATACAAAGGTTATTTTCCAGCCCCGCTCATAATTTTCTGTTTACTAGTCATTAATCTTACTAGAAGTAATTTCAATGCTTTTGTTTAAAGACTTTTTTGAATTTTCTCCCCTTTTTTTCCCTCATCCCTTGGTAACCCTGTTCCTAAACTCATTGCCTAACTTCTCACATTCCTGCAAGGGAATCTTTGGGTAAAACATCCTGGACAAGTTTTATGTTCCATTTTTCTTTGAGATAATTTTTTTCTATTTGTTGTTGTCACCTTGTATCRACTAACAGCTGTAAGATTAATGCTCATACATGTATACTTTCCTTAGCTCTAAAGTCAGAGGCTATTTCAGTTTTTGCAGTTACTTGGTTATTTATTTAGCCTTAGTTTGCAGTTCTACTGGTAAAATATTTTCATTTAGAATGTTTTATCCACAGTCCTCTAACACCTCCAGAAATGTTGACTGTTTCTCAAAACAAGTACCAAGTAAATTTAGGTTATTTATCTAGGGACATAGTTGGCAGTCAAACTATTATTTCCTAATTTTCAGTCCTAAAACTGTTTTGTACTATAACCACTAAATTATATTTACTCTAAAAGCACAGAAARGTGAGAAGAATCTTGCTTCTCTAGTTGCTTCTTCTAAAAGCCCTTTTTGTGTGGTATTTCACACTAAAAGCTGTCTCATGCAGGGAAAATAGTCTACTTTAAAAAAGAGCTTGAGGTTTTGACCACTCTAGGCTTTGCTGTCCTCCTTTTATCCCTGATGGGTTTTATTAACCCCTATTCTTACATCTGCAGTATCTGTGCCTTGGTTGCGGGGTCTTAACTTTAATTGCAAGATGGCCTGTTTATAGTCTAAATCATTCTTCCCTGGWAAAAAACCTGCAGTCTGATAGCTGCTCATCTCTTGCAGCAAACATTAGGCTTCTCCCAGTATCTGACCCAGTTTCAGCATCTAGRTAATTCAGCTCCTTGTTACATGTCTCCAGGTGGCTTCTCTTTCACAGTCACTTCATCTCATAGTGTTTGAGGCATGTGCAGCCAGTGAAAGGACAGCACAACCACAGACCCACCAGCCTCAGCTTTGCACTTCAGAAAAAAAAAAGTTTAAAGGAGATGCATTCTAGAAASGGTAAAACAAAATTGGATCACAATTTGTTACATCACTCGACAGGGAGAAATTCTAGAACCATGTTGAACCTATGCAAAAAYTTGTGGAAAAAACATGAAATGAAGAAATGTTTTCCTGGTAGTGCTTGTCATCTATTAATGTATGTCATTTTCTATCTTCCATTATGAGAGMTACCAGGGAAATGCATATAACAGTYACAAACTCCTTTTTTATGTATTATGTTTTACCTCCTTAGGCAAATTAAAAGCAAATTTCCTCTGCATTAAAATAGAACTGCACATTATTATTCAGAATATCCTAGGCTGAAAAGGTCTGTGTGGAGTAATTGCAGAAATCTTCTGGGGAAAAAACGGCATTGTCTAGTTCAACAATTTTTTTTTTTTTATTTTTAAACACATGAGCTGTGTCAATAGTGTTTTTTTAAAATTCTGAGTTCTCAAAATATGAAGTTSCTTCCTTTTTAACTCATATCCTACTAGGTTTGAAAGAGTTCTTCGGCTCTGGTTTGCAAAAACTGGAAAGAGCATGCCTTACTTTAGGGATACCTTAAAATGTCACCTGGAGATAATCCTTTGACACAGAGACAGGAGAGAGAAACAAGATTCTGCTTGAGCAGAATCCCTTCCGTTTGGTCTGCACAGAATCAATGACTTAATAAKGCAGTTTTGTGGTGGAACAAGAGGAGAGCCTCAACAGCTGATGTTTTCCATAAATGTGTTTTCCTCCTGTACCTTTCTGATTCTGTGAACCATCTAGAGAGTAATTGTGTTATTCCTGAGTGTGAGTCAGATTCATGTGCCATATGCAGAGCCCTTCCTTTACTGGCTGCTAGAAGTACTGTTAGATTTTTATATTGTCTGCTACTCTAATTGCCTCAGTTCAACAATGTGAAAGCCTTACCATCTGAATTTTCAGCAAAGYGCGATATTCCATCCACCCAAGCCTCACAGGTTGCTGCAAAGTACTTATGTCCATACAGCTCTTCCAGTGGTTTCTTGACCTTTTCACTCCATTTTGAAACATCTCGAATGCCTTCATAAAATAACATTGAAATACGTCATATCCTTTCCAGCAACAAGATAGAAACCACACCCTAATACAGGGAAGTTTTCAAACCAGACTGCAAATATGTATTTCAAACTTGAAAATGTAATGAATATGTCAAGTAATTCATGGTATGTAAAAGGTATAAAAAAGAGCTGCTTTGCTCTTCTAAGTTGTAAAGGAACATCTTGTTATTATGGTCACAAGGAACAACAGAAAAAAAAATAATAATCAAAGGACTCAGTCTTAAAAYTTCTGATAGTTCTTTCTGGAAAGCTTTCATAGGAGAAGTTCAAGGGGTACCTTGTGTATAAAAATGGGACTGTTTTATAACAGTGTGCCAGACCTGGCAGTTTTTATACCCTTTAGCCCTTTGCATTGACTCATTGATGGAAGTTCTTCCATGGCTCCTASCAGCTCTCAAAGGAAGGAAGCTCTTACTAAGACATTCCAGCAGGCTGATATCATGGTACATTTGCCATAATTTTACACAAAAACAAGTGACTCTACTTAGTAGAGTCCTGTGACTCATGGCAGGCTGGCTAAAGCTGTACAAATAATCTGACATTTTATTTATTATCAGACTTCCCCCCCCC